AACACCATGTTCAAGCATAAGGGTGTCCATCAGTGCACATGGCACCAGGACACCCTAGGCCGGAGGTCGATGATCGACTTTGTGGTTGTTTCATCTGACCTCCGGCCGTATGTCTTGGACACTCGGGTGAAGAGAGGGGCGGAGCTGTCAACTGATCACCACCCGGTGGTGAGCTGGATCCAATGGCGGGGGAGGAAGCTGGACAGACTTGGCAGACCCAAAAATGGAATGGAATGGATGGATGGATGGATGGACTCTAAAGGTACTTCAGACAGCAACTGGTCCTGACTTCGGAATCATGACAGCAGCTGTATACCTACCCTATAGTGTACTGAGGTAGGACTGGAAATCGCTGATAGCTACAGTTCAAAGTATCCTGCTGTCTAAAAACACACTAAAAAGATGCTTGTCAAAGCTCTGCTCAAATACACTATCTTACATGTTCCTTTGTCCTTTGCTATGCCACTGATCTATAGATCATAATAAAATTTAGCCACTAGCTTGCACAGTGTGTGAGATGGTTTGTCTCTGAGACATACATGTGTCACTTGTCATACCTCTACCCAGTCAAAGATCTGCTCGTCACTGGCCATGTCCTCCAGAAGGAGTTTCTCCAGCTGTTGGCTCAGCTCCTCGGGAGACAAGACCTTTTTAGACAGAGGTGCCTCAGGGCAGGAGCCGTCCAACTGAACAAACTGGAGTTTCTGAGAGCACACCGATATGGTGAGGAAGTGACACGTAAGGCAAAAAGAAGGAGGTTAGAAAGTCTTTGTCAGCTTGTTAGATTAAATGAGCTGCTCAGGTGATCGATGCTGACAATGAGTTTTCCTTTAATATTCATACTACTTGATTTGAGTGGAGAGATTTATCACCAACCTGTTTTGAGATGAAAGCCTGGACATCATCTTCCTCTGGCAGAAAGTCGGCCCAGTTGAGGCCAGATTCCCTCCACAGGGAACCCACAGTCCTATGGCTCTGTGGAGACAGGACCAGACATCACAGGTCTAAACATCTTATGTTTGTCCAATTTACAGCAGCAAGGAAAATAAACTGTTAGTGCTCTGGGGTGGCTACATGTTTACTAGAACACAATTCAAAAGTTTGGTGCATTAACAAAACTGCACTAAAATAGGAGTCAACATTTACTATGAACCAAAAATCATAACCTTGTTTATGTTCAATTTGTCTTCATAATGAGAGCAGCTAACAAAAATGTATGCAGGAAAAAACAGAAGATTAAAGTGAAGCTTACCATTTGTTTGCATAGTATGTGCAGTATGTCAGAAATTAAGATCCCAGCTCTTCCCACAGGAAGCAAAGGTTTGCTTAATTCACTGTGAACAAACAGAGAAGACACACTGACATTTGTCTACAGCGTATGGAGAAGACAAAATGCTCCAATTCTATGTAACTTCAGTTCTGCTTTACTATTATTATTCCTGAAAGGGCGTGAATTAGTCTTGGAAGCAAACAAAGCATAGTGCAACAAACATGAGAAGTAAACTGCAAACAAACTACACTATGTGACACTTTTGACCAAGACAAATGTCAGCTTTTGACTAAATTTTATACTTCTGCCGCTGACCCAGCAAACAACAGAACAGGTCTCAAGGTGGCAATTGTTCCTGAACAAACACACCAAATTCCACTTTAGCTTTTCTTATACAACCAGCTTGGGGACAAATGAATGTCCCAGGTGTAGATGCGTCTGTACCTAAAGAGCTCTCTCATAGAGAAGCCCCCTTCCCTCAGCACAGGGCTGAGCAGCTCAGCCAGGTACAGCCAAATATGGGGAATGTCTATGGCCATGTCGTCCGCCTGCTCCAGCGTTTCTGCAAACCTGAGAAAACATAAGGACACAAGTTGTAACTGGAACAAGGTTAAGAAGGCCAAAACTGAACTGGGTTTTTATTTTCTTTAAAGATATTTTAAGAGTGCAGAGTACACTGACAAGCCACCTCAACTAAAGGGACTGAATCTGATCAGACTATATGGACTTTTTACATAAATCATCCATGAAGGTCGTCAACACATTTTTTTTTTTTTTAATCATAGTTTTCATTAATGAAATTAACACTGCTGGCAGCCTTTGCTACGTTAGGTAGGGCTGTTGGTAGTGATAATCACAAGGTCAGCGACTAGTTGACACCATCCTGAAAATGTAGACTATGCGGGGTGAACTGGACTAACCTGTGTAACCCCTAGCAGTCACACTGACAAGAAGCAGGAAGACGTACAAGAGCGCTGTGTGTTAAACAGGTGCCAACTGGCATCTTGTCAATAGGAAGTGCATGATTATTTTGATGCAGTAATCCAGTACAGACTGCAGATGAACTGACCCTTTGAAAAACTGGGTTTTGGGCACAATTCCCTGCTGCACCAGCTGGAAGAGGAGCTGGCCCATGTGGTCCCGTGTTATCTGACTACGCTCCAGGGTTGACTCTATGCCAACACGCACGAAGATGTGGAGCTGAGAACCCAACTCAAGCTCGTCCACACACTGGACAGCCTCCTGCAGAAAACAGAGACATTATCATGACTGAGTGATCTCGAGACTAAAGCCTAGTGTTAAGCTAAACACTGTTAGTGTTTCCAGTGATCATATAAACAGATTGATTGCTTGATTTGAATCTTGGTACCTTATAATCATTTATGTGCAGGAACTCGTCGATGATGGACTTGGACTTCCTCTCTATCGCCTCTTCTGACAGCACAGGTCTGTCTGGGATCTGAACTACAGGCTCAGGTTTCACTGTCAACATTAAACAAAGACGTGTCTATAGCAAGAGCCCTATGTATGGTCATATGAGTCAAATCCTCACAGAAATACTAACCCTAAATTTAATGAAGCACATTAACTCTAGGGATGGGCATTTCAAGCTAAAATACTATTCGATATTCGCTGGGAACCATTCGGCAATTATTCGAAGATTCCCCCCCAGACACACACTGCTGAGAGTCCCAGTCCAGCCGCTCTGTGTTGGCTAGCACCATATTGCTAGCGTTGTCATGTACACATGCTGTGTCTTTACCTCCAAGTCCCCAGTGTTCTGCGGCAGTGGAAAGCACATTCACCAGGTTTGTAGCAGTATGCCGCTGTTCCCCTGTCAGGATGTTTCGCCCTGTTAAAGCTGTGTTTGTGGTAGTGCCCCCCCTCTGTGGTTATGGTTAGGGAAAGGGCAGGGAAACATCTCGACAGGGGGAACAGATCTCGACAACATCGGCATTGCTTTAGTCTGAAGAACGGCACACTGTATTTTCCATTTGCTTATATAATGGCAGGCGACTGTCACATACGATTCAGTTGTAATCGTTGTCCATGCATCCGTGGTCAGAGACACCTTTTCAACATTTGTCAAATGACTGCACAGCTCACATTTATTATCATCATATATTTTAACCCATCGTGCCGTGACCGTTTTCCTGATAGCACCATATACTCCAGCTGAACAAATGCCACCAAACTTTATGAATTTAATGGGTAGTATGTCCTTTGCTATCATCTTTGTGCACATCGGTCATCAAACTTACTCGGGTGACAAAACGAGCCATTGACTGTTAAACTGTGGACTGCACCCCCACTTTCTGCCAGAATGCCTCGCTTTTGAAAGCGCATAGTTGTTTGCTCATAGTTGCTGATTTATGATATGTTAATTTAACTTGGCAAAGTTTGCACTGCACCTCATTTTCATTATTTTCTCAAAAAAGGTTCCACACAGAACCTTTTGATGGCTGTAGTCTCTGCATGTTTCTGCTGTTTGTATTTGGCACTGTAGTAAAATGATATACTGACCTCGTTATCACATTATTTCTAGGCGGCAGTAAAAGAAAGAGAAAACAGTGGCTCTTTGTTTTTAAAGGCAAATATTTTTTTAATTTAATGACTATTTGAAAATCACTGCCCATCCCTAATTTACTCTCCAAACGAAAACAAACTGCGGCGTTGTACAAAATAACCCCAGATTCTAGGCAGTGTTCTTATTTATATCAAAGCATTTATAATTAATGCCAATTTAAAAACAATCCACTGATACTTATTGAGGAAAAACTCCACAAAAACAACACAGTAAAGAGCAAGACTGCAGTATATTTCAGCTACACTGTGATTATAAATTAGATAGAATGCAAATTGCTGTCCTAAACATAACTTTTGATACCAAACCTAAACATGTGATGTATTAAAATTGACAGAAACCATACTTCCCTGCTGTTCCAACACAGTCTATGTTTCAGTATTGCTCTGATGTGTGCTCTGTGTTTCTCACCAGGCTCCCTGACTCCCCTGTGCTCTGGCTCTGTTCTGTCCTCGGTGACACTCGATCGCCAGGGCTCAGCTCCTTCTCGCTCCCGCTCTCTTTGTGGCTCCTCAGGGCTTTGACTCTTCAGCAGCTCCTTTGAACTGCCTCCCCTGACAAAAGGTCCAGGCCGTGATGATGGAGGGGCAGAGATCAGTGGCTTCTCACTGCGCTCTCTGCCTGTACTGCTACGACTGCTTGGAGGAAGAAACAAAACAACTGTATCAGTGAAATAAAACTACTGCAAGCACAAATATACCATCCTCATCAGGCAGAGACAACAATTGAGCAGCTCTTTAAAAGAATCAAGTTTTGCCCTTTACCTTCCCAGCGTTCTCCTGGGTTCAAAGTCCTGGTTCTGTGGAGGCATGGCGGAGGGTTGTGGTGAGGGCGTGGACTGCAGTGCAGAGTAACGGTTTAGCCCAGCTGCCCGTGACAGTTCTGTTGTGGAGAGGAGATGGGAATGAAAGGTTACCAACAAATTAAAGGAAATTATCATGGATTATTTAAGTCAAGTCCAATCATTTAAATGAGTGATGATTCACAATACATGCCGTATATGAGTTTTATAAGTCAAGAGCTGAAGAAATAGCTAAATTAAGGTTTATATAGGCTTCAGCAAGTGCTTATGGGATGGTAAGCACAGCACCTCAAACCCATTGCCCACACATTAAGTGTGACACCATCAGCACATTCAAGAAAACATTGTTGGACAGTGTGCACTGCTATCCCCATTTCAACAGTTTTGTCTTGTCCCTCTCTTCCCTTGGCAAGATGTTTATTTGCTACAACTTAAATAGATGTGTAATGTCAACAAATCACCAGCTGACAACTAAGTGGGCACAGAGAGACAAACTGTGCCTCAGACCTCAGGCCTCTTAAAAGGTTAAAAAAAAAAAACACACTTGACTGTGTGATGAACAATGTTTTTGCTGTCCACTCAGTTCTGTGCTGCATCTCCAGATCTTCTTTGTGTAACGATGTTTCAAAATGCTGCGCCATCTCACCTGAGTCACTGGCCTTGGCTCCTCCACTGCTGCCCTTCACCCAAGTGACTTGAGCCCGTGGGCCCAACTGGATCTTCTCATCCATTTGAGGCTGCAGAAAGAGAATAACTTAAGAGCAAACATCTTGCAACATCATATTTTAAGTGACAGCAACAGGAGACAGGACAAAATCGGACAATGACCCAGACTCAAATCTCTGCTTTGAGCTCTCAAAACACCAAGCAGAGAGAGAAATACATTTGACTTATTTAGGATTGAGCAAAGTCTGAAATTCCAAATGTTAATGAGTTACAAGTAGCAGCTAAAACACTGTGTCCATACCATGCAGTTAATACATGAAATGTTCCTAATGCTTAGCTAAGAGTTTTCCTTTCTGTTCAACATGACCGAGTGCATCCAGCAGGGGGAGCTTTGAAATAAATTAGCTTGCCATCTTTGACGCTGCAGTGCCTCATGGGTCCAGCAGGGAGAGTATATGTTGCTGAACTCATAAACCAAAATAATGTAGATCAGATTGCAAGAGGGACAGTTTGTGTAAACGGCCCAGTTGTGAAATGATGACCAAGCCTGGTGCTGTGTAAACAACTACAGGAACTTTCTGCTGAAAGAACAACTACCACAGTGAGCGGAGCTTGAAACATGGAAAAAACACTTGAAGGTGAGACAAACTTGTCCTGACATGAAGAACAGTGTGTTCAAAACAGCCTGCAGATCTATCACAGACTATCAAACACAGGGGATATGCTGCAGCACAACCTTTCAGCTTTTAATAAACTCTTGTACACCACTGAATTAACTTGCTTTTAGTTAAAGGGGTCAATTATGAGTGTGAGAAGAAAAGATGCTGGGCGTTCTGGACACCTACTGGTGCTCCTCAGTTGACCGATCATATGATATTTTAGATGGATTCAACTTAATTCAGCTCAACTTTTGTTCTGCATCACATACAATGACTATGTTCATGTCCACATGAATGCTCAGTATATGATTAAAACGTAAGAAACCTGATTACTTATATCCCTGCATGTTTTTTTTTTGTTTTTTTTTTTTGTTTTTTTTTTTTTTTTACAGACTATACTCAAACAACATTAATAAAATACCAATGTTTTCAACCCATGGCAGCACTTTAGAAGTGTGGTCTCTATGAAAAAATGTTACAGAATTAGTTTGACACATCACTTTGTCACATCATTAACTGGAACTACCAAGTGCAGCTCATTTATTTTGTGTCTCAACAGTTTGTTTGCTCAGAACACTCTTCTTTTTTTGAGGCGGCCTCCGACTGGTGGCACCTGAGCAAACACCTAGCTCACCTACGCCCTAAAACGGCCAAGGCAATGCGTCTCACCTTGGAGATCTTTGGAATCTTAGTGGGGTCGATAGTCCTGCTGTTCTTTGTCATGGGCACAGTGTTCCAGGTCTCGTCTCTCTGCACACGCTGATCTCTCTGATCTGTACATCCACAGAGACACACCCACACACAAAGGGAAAATGCAGTGTAATAGGAGTGCAGTGGAAATTCAGAGTCAAACAACTGTGAAAATGGCCAACAGAGTGACACTTGACAGTTTCTGTAATATACTGCTCTACATTAGGAAATAGTACAAGTCAGAGAACAGATGGGAGGGAGTAGGGGGCATCCTGTCTGCTGCTGGGCACAATAACATCTCTGCAGTCTATGGGGACAGGAAGTTTGTCTGTCTGTGCTTGCAGGCTTCCTGAGCCGTGCTGATGTGACTCTGAGCCTTAAAGAGGATTTTGACTGCAGGCCTGACCTGGCCGTCTCTTGCTGTCCTTGGAGAGCAGCTGCTGGTGCACTTTTCTCTGCTCTTCCTGCTCTTCAATCTTTGCCTCCTTGTGAATCTGCTCAATTGTTTTTGGGCCCTGGTCTGCTCTCCTGGACACCCAATTGTGCTGAAAGAAAAATGAGAACCACAATCACTGCAAACCTGAATATAACAGTAGTGCTGGATTCCAACTGATTTCTCTGTTCTTTATCTATGCTAAATCAAATAGCATTCCAAGCTAATTTAAGAGTATGTTTAAGCTTTATCATACGGTATCTGATACATCACTTCATCTATAAGAAGCTATCAAACACAGAGGAATAGCCTAACGTCAAGCGATGCACTGGCGGATTTACCAGATCTGTTCACATGGCTCTCAGTTTCCGATTACAAAACAACTCATTTGTGTACCTCGAGGATGACCATGCTGGTTTTGTTTTACACAAAGTGGATCCTACATAAGCAGCCTTGGTTATTTTAATTTCAAATCGGACAAGTGCGAAGCACAGCACGACTCAAATCTGTGTTTCTGGCATCTTGTGGCAGTGACAGAGATTCACACAACTTGCGTTAGGTAAGACTTGGGAGGGAATCAAAGCTGAATCAGTGTAGATGTCTCTTTACTGGAAAAGCACAACATGACAGCTGCAACATTAAATCATTTGCTCCTCTGTTTCTATTATTATATTCTAACTCCTTGTGTTCATTCAGTTCAGTTAAAACAGCTAAAACAAACAGCTACAGATTCAGGATAAAACCAACAGATTAAACTCGTCATGTACATGTAATGTAGATGACTGTGCATTGACATACAGTGTGATCAAGAACTATTAGTGAAGAACATATATATGTAAATGAAAGGTGTTGTCAGTGGACATTCAAATGTGAGGTAGACTATTTTAATACAACTAACCTGAGACCAAATGAGAAGACAAAATGTTGTGGCACAATTTATAAAATATCTACAAAGCAAAAAAGTGAAATTGTGACTCGGGGCTGGGCCATATCAGCCGACCCCGAGCTGACCACAGTAGTAGTGGTAAAGTAGCACTGTCTGTATTATAAGTAGCAATTTATTGTGTTGTGTTGCATCTTGCTACAACACAACAAAATGTCCTGAAATATAGGTCAATAGAATCATATATAGTAGAATTAATTCAATAACTCAGACACCTGTTTAGCAGAATAGGACCAGGATACCCAACATCATTTTCCAGGAGGTCAGAGAGATCAATGAAAAAAACCTCAGTGGGGAAATACACTGTGAACCAGAACTAGTCTGAACCATTTGGAGCTTGGACTCTCTACAAGCTGCGCAGATAAATATCACAAGCACACACTCACCAATCTTAGGTCTATAATGTCCTGTAACATAAACCGTATCCGAGAAGATGTCTTCCTCTCCTTGACGATCTTTTCCATCTGATTGAAATACTGATCCATCCGAGGCTGGTGAGTGAGAGAGAGAGGTTAATTTGAAACATTAAGGTTATGTTCTCTATATTTCTAAACTGCACTTTTATTTTGGTAAACTGTGTATTATATTGGTAAGCATCCTTCAGTGGAAAAAGGAAATAAAGCAGAATTAGGCTGCTGTGCTGTTTCTCTGCTGGTCAGAGGATTTCTTTTTGCAAGGTGACTGGTAGATGATGAAGTCAACCATATATCACAGTACAGCAGAGAAGGAGAGACAGCATAAAGGCCTTGCAGTCTGTTATGACTCTCCAAGCAACCAAGGACTGTTGCTGTGTCCAGCCGGGAGTCACTGATGTCCACAGGAGAGCCAGTGATACGGAACAAAGCGGAGCGGGGACACTGGGGGGACATTCCCGTTTCCTCATAACCTACATAAAGTTTCTCTTCTACCTCTGGAACGGAATGTAGCCCAGCTGGTGTGGGAACAACTCCCAGCAGAACCTTCTCTTTTATGTCTTAGAAATCTGCACAGCTATAGATTAGTATCATCTGATTTGCCCAGTAAACCTGTCTAGAGGAATTTACTGTTTCTTGTTAGTAGATGCACGCTGCCCTGCAATGTCTGAATTTCTACACTATAAATTCTCAGTATGGGGTAAAAACTTGTCCAAGGTCTCAGCCCAGTGTCAGTGAGTCTTAAATATGGTATGAACAGCTTTGTGTAGACTCTGTGTAGCACATCACATCAGCAACCAATGCGTGTGCCGTCTACAATTACTTTTAATTATTAATTATTAGAATATATATTTTATTCTGAAATGAGAAACAAATCTGCTAAATCACCGACCACTCCACCACCATTCTCTTGGATATATTTAACATTTCTCATGGATGGCCTGTGAGAACGTGCTTTTCCTCCCTTTAAACATATACATGAAAAACAATATGCAACTCAGCTTTAGCCGTGTTGCTTTAGAGGCTGTCTGAGCCACTAAATCCTCTAGTGTCTAGGGCCCCATTCCGTAACTCCTGTTCACTTAATGTATCCAATTCCTCCTCCAGCTCACCTTGGCCTTCTCAAAGTCGAGGTCCTTGCCGATGGTGGTGAGCAGTCTGCACAGACACTCCAGAGACTCCTCATCATGGTTCTTCAGCAGCTTAACCACACAGTCATGCATGATGGCCTCTGTTAACATCTTGAGCTTGAAGAGCTCGCCGATAAACTTGATGTTGCCGATGGAACGCCGCCGGGCCTTATCCTTGGCTTCTTCCAGCTCCTCCTGAAGACGCTCACGCTCCGTCGCCTGAGGGGACCAAGGTAACAGGAAAGTGATTCACAAAACCTCTTGGTCAGAGTTGAGACAGACTTGGGAGTTATATTCTTTTCCATACTGAAAACTAAAGCATGAAACCAGGTGTCACACTATATTAATTCAAAGATCACATACCGATGCAGCAGAGTCCAGCTCTTTCTGCTTTCTCTCAAACACCACATCATCCACCTTGTCCTTCTCAAACTCCTTCTGGCAGCGGTTTAGCAGCAGCTTGCGAAAGTTCACTGTGGTGTTGGGTTTGTCTGTCATGGGCACTTTGAGCTGTACATGAACAGTAGGCATAGCAGAGAAAAATGTTTCACATTGTTTTACAGATGACAACACAAGCCTAATTGAGTTTTCTGAGGATTATGCTGTAGAAAGACTCCTGTACACAAAAGAAAAGGAACAGGATCCACACACCACACTCTAAGCTCCCAGCAAGTTTATTAAGGCAGATTTTCATGATCTGATGATCAAAATGTTGCTGCCTTAATAAACTTCTGTGGAGCTTAGAGTGCACTGTACGAATCCTGTACCTCACTGAAAAGATTTGTGTTAGATAAGCGTGTTCTATCTCGTTTAATTCTTGCACACAAAAACAAAGGTAAGAAAAGGTTCATTTATACAGTGAGGAACAGAAGTATTTGAACACCCTGCGATTTTGCAAGTTCTCCCACTTAGAAATCATGGAGGGGTCTGAAATTCACATTGTAGGTGCATTCCCACTCAGAGAGAATTAAAAAAAAAATTCAGGAAATCACACTGTATGATTTTTAAAGAATTTATTTCTCTTGCTTGGGTGATGGACGAGTCCACCTCTGAGCCCTCAGCCTCTGCTTCCTCATCGGAAGACATGGCGCCAGGGTTGAGGAGATCCTCGAAGTATTCCTTCCACCGTCCGACAATGTCCCCAGTTGAGGTCAACAGCTGCCCAACTCCACTGTAAACAGTTTTGGCAGGGCACTGCTTCCCCCTCCTGAGGCGCCGGACGGTTTGCCAGAATCTCTTTGAGGCCGACTGATAGAAAGGATGTCCTTCTCCATGGCCTCACTGAAGTCTTCCCAGACCCAAGTTTTTGCCTCCGCAACCGCCTGGGCTGCAGCCCGCTTGGCCTGCAGG